AGAGAGAGAGAGAGAGAGAGAGAGAGAGAGAGAGAGAGAGAGAGAGAGATTGAATGGCGATTGAAACATGGGTCAAATTGCGGCCACGATCTATTTCACAGTTGGAATGATTTTTTTTAAATTTATTGATCGTTTTTCCTGGAAAGATCACAACGAAATCTAAGAGTACTCCAATTTTCAGTTTTTTTCACGCATTCTTCAGATTCTTCTGAGTGTCACTGAACCTGGAGTACTTTTTTAGTTGGCCTACACATGCTTGAGTGACAAAAATGGAAAATGTGTCAAATCGGCGCGATGATTATTTCACTATGTAAATGATTTTTTGAAAATGTTATAATATTATTGTTTGAAAGAACACGACCTCATCTACGGATTCTCAAAATTTTAGATTTTTCTGCGGGTTTGTTCGAGCACAGAAAATCGTCAAAGTTGCCTCTTGCAAAACGCCTGTTTCGTTGTGCCTGACCTCCGTGTTTTGAGAAGACTGGCCTCAACACCTGGGCCTGAGGGCCCTTTTGCAGTTCACATGTCCTCACTTCTTTGGGGGGTCTGCTTCTACCCAAGGTCCGGTCCAATGCCCCCCACTTCTTTTTGGGGTCCACTTCCACCCGATGACCGGTCCTTCCTTTTTCCAAAAGTCCCGGTTCTACCAGAGCTAGTTGTAGGTAGTCCGCAATTTTGGCAAGGACCGGTCCCCCMAATTTCCCCCCCCCCCTAAGAACCCATTTTGCGTCCTGGTCGCCCGCCGCCAAAAATGCGACACCTTGACACAGACGCAAAAGCCCACTATACCGCAGCCTTAGGTCTGCAAATTTCTTATTTTTTATATTTTATTTTTATTTCAATAATAACTCGTTTTTTGTGACTCCCGCGTAGTTATCCCTACATATTATTTATTTATTTATTGTTTGTTTGTTTGTTTGTTTGTTTGTGTGTGTGTGTGTATGTATGTGTGTGAGCGTGTGCGCTCGCGTGTTCGTGTGCGTCAGCTGTGCGCGCAGACAACTTCTAATGAGTCGGTGAAAATCCGCCGAAACAGTTTGGCACAATCATGCTTTTTTTGAGTGTATAGCTCATGCGACAACACACACATGCGCGCCCATGTGCACTCACATATACACACATACAAAGGTAAGTCCTTTTTTTCCATTTTCTTTTCTTAAAAAAAACAAACAGGAC